CCGTGTTTGGATTTGTATGGTAGAAAAGAGCGGATATACTCTGCATAATTTCGAGATGGAGTGTTAAATGTATTAATATACAATGTACACAATTTGCTTTTGATGAAAGTTTCAAAAATGGATGGATTTCGGGGTTAGTATTTTACAGCAAATATTGTTACACTGACCTGTTGCGTGTTCATAGATGCTGGACAAACCAAGGAAAATTGCTGTTCTTGTATACTAGGTTAGTCATTGCAAAAATGTGGGAGAGACATGAAACTGGGACTGAGAAACATTTGCAATTTTGTTAGAAAATACTTTGAAAAATGTTTACTCTCCGGATCCGTAGACTTTGTACACAACTGCTGAGGTGGCGTCTGGGTACTATACATTCTTTCCCCAGACTCTGAATCGGTTGTACTTCAGTTGTAGGGAATTATTACATAATTACTTGTGTTATCCTTTTCAACAGTTGTAAAACTGTAATCACATCTGGACGTGGCGACTGATGATTTGCTTGGTTGATGTTATTGTTGAAATCTGGTTGGCTGGCGAATAAAAAAACAATAGTTGTAAATCTGTTGATGTGGAAAGATTAACAGAAAGATGAGTGTTAAATTTGTTGAAAATGAAATACGTGTTTTGTATAAAATCTATTTGACAGTTTGACTTTAACTTGACTTTAACTTAGGTCAAGTTAAAATTGCCCACGGGCCCGCTCTACCTTAACCCTATCAGAACTCGACCCATCAAAACCCAACGGCATGTTCTGTTGGAATCTGTCAGGATGGGTACAGTACCCCTAAACTGACAGTCTTTTACATTGGTTTAGCACACCTCCAGAATCAAAGTCAGAAATATATGTATGCAGTTTCCCATATGGTGTTGGAATTGCAAGGATACGTATGGTTCCCAGTCAATCATGCTAGGGAGTTAGGGTTAATTTAACTGCAATTTATTGAAAAAGAAAAACTTCACTCAATCTCAGGAATTGGGTTAGGACCTTACAGATGCTGTGAACAAAATATTCTATAAACCCAAAATATCTGAAATCTCTTTATTCTTCCATTTCTTTTCATATATAATGTACCCGCTTTTACATCGTTGATAATATTTCTACAATTATTTGCGATAAGCTCCATTTCATTAAAGCTTTGAACGTGAAATCTTTGCAACTTTGTGCGGATATTGAAATACATGTATACATATTACACAGTTCATGATGAAAGGAAATTATTCGGGGTGTATGCATATATTTCACCATGCTTTCATTATCACATTTTCAATTGGAACTATGTACACAATTCAAAACTCTATGAAAATGCAAAACATGCTTAATACTTCGTACCAATACAAACTGTACCTCAACAATTTTACACAGTATATTTTATGCGAGCAAAACCCAATACTGACTTTACATTTCTTTAAAGGCCCCAAATTGCATCATAAAACATACCATCTTGTTAAATTGATGCATATTATGTAATTTCCATGACCCAACATTTAACAATGGTAAAGGGGTGTTTCTATGGTAAATCACAAAAAAATGGTAAAATAAAATAAATTCAACGTAGCAGATATTGCTACCTGAAAGTAATTGTATTTAAATTCATATTCCTATAACTTTTAGCACCAATCGTGCCCGATCAAAATGTAACAACTTAAAAAAATAAGTTAAATAACAGTTCACAAGCATTCTGCTTTCCATACTGACCCCCTACACAAACATACTTTTTGTGCAAACTTGTCCTTTCAGAAATCAATCAAGTGACTGTTTTTATCAGCACGGCCTCACAAGGCGACACAGTTATTGTTTACATGTAATTTAGAGCTTATGTTTTCACTCATTTTCCGGGAGCCGATTCAGAACCGGCTCTTTTCCAGGAAGAACCGCTCAAGCCTAATTTTTAACAGTAAAGAATTCCCGGCCTACTTAAAGCAGGACTGACTGGCTTTGACTGTTTATGTAACTTGATACAGCTATGCTTTGACTATTGGTGATTGATAAGCCAGCTGTGCCCACAACTTGCCTGCTTTGTCTGTTCATGGACAGTGCTTGCTTGACATATGATCCGACTGTTGGCGTCTATAGCCTGTGTTCAAAGTATAGCAGGGGAAGAGGATGGACAATTTGACTGTCTGTGACTGTTTAAATAGGAGGGTTAATAAGCATAAATTAAACGTGCCAAGATAACAATTTGTACATTAATAATGATCTTAAATTAAAAAAAAAAAACCGGGCTGAAATGATAAGCAGCTATGTACATGTCTAGAGCACAAACATGTTAAACGTACATCATTAAATTTTGTTGGTCAAAATTTACAAAAACTTGTTCACCTTTTGCTAGTTCATACTCTATCTACAGTATTACGTACACTTCACATTTTGTTCAATATAAATTTGTTTCAAGCTTAATTCACAAGAGCTGTGATTACAATAACACAGAGATAACAATCAGATTTACCGGTATATAATACTGCATTGGCGTTATTATTATTATTATTTTTTATTAATCTTGTTTTGCATAGTTTACAATGCAATCCAATACGGATAATTCTATTCAGCAATTGCATGTAAGTTTCTTGTTTTTCTGAAGTAGCATAACAAGTCAAAACTCGAAAAATGGCTTGTAATACAATATTTTATTTTTCTTATTTGAAAAGTTACCTTACATCCTTTCGTCACATGGGCTGTTATGCATTGGAATGAATACCTATGTTAATGCGGTATGTAACATCGTACATCACACTTAACATGGTACTTAAGAAGTTTCACAATGAACAAAACTTGGAATTTTTTTCAATTGATTATAAATCATCCCCATTCCGGTCGGTTTCCATCATTAGAGCAGCTGATTTATATGTGTCAATTGATGATGACAATGGAATTCACTCGCTTTTCAGAACCGATTCCCTAAAACATTTTTTGTCACCGAGTACAGGGTGAGTAAAAGAAAACGAAACCCAAATGTCGGGACTATTGTTTTAGTGAAGTTCTGCACGTAGCACTTTCAAAATCTAGGATATGAAAGCCCAAATTCATAAACTTTATAGTAGTACAAGAATCATTCAAATCACTCATGTACTTTCTAAGTTACGGAATTTTAAACACAACCAAAGTTTTCAAAGTGCTACATGAAGAACTTCACTAAAACAATAGTCCCGATATTTGGGTTTCGTTTTTTTTTACTCGCCCTGTATTGTCTGTCTTTGTGATCGGCTCAATTCATTCATGGAATTTCCGAGGAAATTCCGTGGACTTTATGATTGAAATTCCTTTGTCGTGTGATCAAGCACCCCAAAAGGAGCCTTCATATTCACACATTGGTTTCTGATTTAATCAAACCGAAACAAGCAACATCATGGTTATCACCATTTTCAAAATTTAAAGATGTAAGTCCATCATTTGTAATTTGTGCATGTGGTTCTTTTCAACGATAATTACGCCAGTTACTTTTCAGATAGCTGCAAATGATGGACTGTAGCTTTAAAAGAATTTGGATGGATAAATAACATTTTTATAAGGGTGCAGCTGCAAATTATAAGATACATGTATATTCTTGCGTGGAAGGAAATACTGTTACCGAAATGGCAATTTATCTAAATCTACGCATTGTTATCAAAAGAAACATCAGAAGTGATCCTCCATTTCTCACCAACAATCTAGGGCAAGTTCGATCAAGGACTAATGGTTATATTAATTACTAGTGGTTGGTTCGCGACGTACCTGGCACATGCGCGCTGTAGTTGAAGTGGGAACGACTCTTGTCGAACTATTGTCATGTCAACGACCATGACAGAGTGGCGGTCGCACATCCGCTAAACAATTTTTCAACACTTGATGTTTCTGTTCTTTACACGAATAATAGCGATTGTATAGTTTAGGACACCTGACATAATCAATATTATTGTACAATGGTGACAAAAGTGACAGACTTGTAAACTAACATAGAAAAACTATGCAATGAAAATGAAATTTAGCACTCACAGTTTTTCGTTTTCCTGCTATTTTTTTGTTTAAAGTCGGTCCCCTTTGCACTATGCCATGAACAACTGCTATTGATAACCAGCTTTAAATTCTGGCGTGACCAGCTGTGGTAGGCTGGTCCTAATAGTTGACTAGACTAGTCCAACCATCGACTAGCGTGCATTCGATCAGAGTTAGTCCAACTATGGTTAACTATGGTCCTTGATCGCACTTGCCCCTATATTTCAGCCAAAGGTTCATGGGCAATAGGCCACATTTTTGGGGAATGAGGGTTCTAATGCTGTTTTGGGAAACAAAAGAAAAAAAAAGTGAAGCTTAGGCTACTGATATCAGCTTCTGACTACAGTAAACTCCGGCTAAATCGACATCGTACAACTCGTCAAATTGCTCAAGTCGGCCATCTGACTAAAGTCCCCATTGTCCGTAATGCATTTCCATTGAATTTTTTATTTCTAAGTCGGCTTTTATAAGTCGCAATTTCGCTCAAGTTGTCATACTACTCTCGGTCCCCTTACCATAAAAAGCATTACAAAATCCTTTGTGTAAGTCGGCATTAAAACAATCATGCATTGGCATCGACTTCCTGTACTGCGGTTGGCAAAAAGCATCGAGTGAAAAGTGGTTTGGCACGGCCCGTGATCGCAGTATGCATCGGTGTCGCAAAAGGATTTCTTGCTGCATGCATACATCGCATTTGCATCGTGAGCATATCAATACCAGTACCCCCTCTCGTCTGTACGCATGCGCTCTGTCCATTTCGGGGGTCATCTTATTGAATGACTAGTGCTGCAGTCAATGCATGCGTGGTATATACCGGACCACGCACGCATTTAATTCGTTACTATGCACATACATATGTATCGTGGTCTCCACTATCAATACCCCAAACTTGATGATACAATTCGAGGATTAATTTGCTGGATTCAACTCAAGCATTAAGGAGATAAACTAGGGTAAATCGAAGCCAATTAGTGCAATGAATCATGTGCAAAAGGCCATTCATGTAAGTCGGCAAAATGACGTCTAACAGCAGATGTCGGCATTCACGTAAGTCGTCACAAATTCTCGGGTCCCGAGAGTGCCGACTTAGCTGGAGTTTACTGTATTTGCTTTATTAAAGTTGGATTTGTGTGACATTAAAGTTTGAAAACTGTTGTGCACAAGTCTATGGGAATGTTTAGGGTAATAGGGATACTACAGTATTAAACACATGGGTTCAATTCTTCTCAATGTTTCTAAAGCCAAAGTTTTGAAAATCCCCTCAGTGACAGATTGTCCACGTTCCACACTACACGTATGAAACCGTGAGCAACTACTGTTGCGACTGTCCTGATGTCCATAAGTACGTCTGGATGGACCGTGCAGGCACTTTGGCATTGATGTAACCAGCGGATGGATCATGGATGCTTAGGTATTTAGCTTCATCAAACCTGTTTGTAAAAAAAAAAAAATCAAAAGTCAGTAATCCATAAGATGGAATTTTTGCGTCGCGGTGATGTAAGTCAAATTAGGTTTTGCCCTTCACCGACGTACAAACACTGTACACTCAGTGTGTTACCTCCCGAGTGAAAGTTGGAAAAAATCACTCGGGTGGGACTCGAACCCACGACCCCCTGCTTTCTAGTGCAGTTGTCTTACCACTCGACCACCGAGCTAACGGGATCGGTTGGCTGGTTCGAATCTGATGTACATAGCAGTGGGTACCGCATTAATTATTCATAAGATGAAAAAAGTCAGTAAAATAACAAAAATAATAGAGAGTAAGTGCCCCAAAAGAAAGTGCATTGTGTGTTGAAATTTTGCAATGAGAAAAATGTATGTACGTTTGTGTTTTTTTTTTGTTAGCCCAACAACTTGGAAGTTCAAAAGTGTTAGATTGACATGCATACACAGCAACTAATGTTCTTTTGGCCCATGAACAAGATGGGGCATATTAACATGTAAGTTCTTATTGGAAGAAAAAAATTCAAATTAAGGCAAAAAAATAAAAAATTTTGGTCTCTTGTCAGACCAAAGTTCTGTTTTTGAGGCGGCGACACGGCTTTTTTTTTTTTCTTCAAGCTTGGATTGTACAGACAAGGTGGGGTACTATTTTGCTTTTTTTGGTGTCCTCATGTACATTGGTGTCCTCCATAATGACATTTAATCTCTGCACAAAATATTTTTTTTTTTTCAGCGGGGGGGGGGGGGGGGGGGGGGGGGGGGGGGGGGGGGGGGATAGTGTGGTTATGAGAATAACTTACCTGTTTAAAACAACTACCGCAAGTGTTTTACCATCAGGGAGTTTGAAGGCTATACTCTCAAGTTCATTATCCTTAGACGTGGTCAGTCCAATGTGCACAGAGCCTGGCAGAATGAACTTACTGAAATAGAAGGAATAAAAGACAATTCTTTCGTTTTACCGCCCATTATTGTACGGGAACAATCATAATACTGTGTGACAATTTTATTCATTGGACGCTGAATGAAAAAGGAAACTTAATTTTGTCCAGCAATTAATGGTTATGATAAAACAAAACTGTTTTCAGGGGGAGTGTGTGGCCTAGTGGTTAGGGTTCGTGACTCATGATCAGAGGGTCAGGGGTTCGAAGCCAGCTGCTGGCCATATGTTGTGTTCTTGGGCAAGCCAAATAACCCCCGCTTGCCCCTCTCCACCCAGGAGTATAAATGGGTACCAGCATTAGCTGGGGAGTAACCTGCGATGGACTAGCATCCTATCCAGGGGAGTAAAATTATTTTCAGCCGTTTCATGCTACTGAAACCGGAGATAAACGCCGACCTGATGAGCCACATTGGCTCGCGACAGACTTTACTTTTACCTTTTACTAAATCAAAACTGTTTTGGGGGTGAAAACTGGAAACGTGCACAGACAAAAGATCTGTAAACTTAAACTCACCTAAAATGACCAAGGTGATAAAACATAGGCTGTTTGTAGAAGACATCGTTCTTTGCGTCCACTATGATGGGGCTGTCTACATTGTTCTTAGCCCAGTTGGGCCCTCCGTCCATGTTCAGTGCTAGGTTCCAGTCCGTCCAACCAGCCACCCAGTTGCTCAAATCCTGTACAAGAAGAAGTTTGGCAGTCTCTTCACTGAACACTGCAGTAATGGAATATTATAAAACTACAGGGCGAGTAAAAAAAACGAAACCCAAATGTTGGGACTATTGTTTTAGTGAAGTTCTGCATGTAGCACTTTCTAAATCTAGGATATGAAAGCCCAACTCATATGCTTTCTTTTAGTACAAGAATCATTCAAATCACTTATGTACTTTTCAAGTTACTGAATTTTAAACACAACAACCTTTTTGAAGTTCCGTCCACGGATCACAACAAATTCAGTGTTCTTTCGGAAAAAAGAAAACAATTCACATACGGATGTGTATAAATTGATTTTGCATTTTGATTTTGCTTTGCTGAAAGAACGCACACCGTTTTTGTGATCCGTGGATTGAACTTTATAATGGTGGTTGTGTTTAAGATTCAGTAACTTGAAAAGTACATAAGTGATTTGAATGATATTTGTACTAAAAGAAAGCTTACGAATTGGGCTTTCATTTCCTAGATTTTGAAAGTGCTAAATGCAGAATTTCAATAAAACAATAGTCCCGACATTTGGGTTTCGTTGTTTTTTTTTTACTCACCCTGCATTGTATCAACCAGGTATCTCTTTTAATGTTGAAGTTAGGAAGTAGCTGTTCTGTTGATTTGAATGGGTTAAAGTGCTTGCCTACTGCAACGGTGACCGATCACGGGAGAACCGGATGGTGGCGCTGTACTTAAGCCCGGTTCATACTCCACGCAAATGCGAATGCGAATGCGAATCGAATTTGACGTCATGTAACGTTCGCTGCGAAATTCGCCGAGTTCAAATGTGCTCAACTCTTACGAATTCGCAGCGCGAATACTTGACAGGACGTCACAAATTCGTGTTCGCTTTTGCGCCGAGTATGAACCGGGCTTTAGGCGTCATACCATGGGACCTATAGGTTTGTGCTGGTGTGCTTGAAAAGCGTGAATATCCGACCAGCTGGAATACCAAAACCGGCATATTTTGGGTGCTTATCTTAGAAAATATTAGCTTAGCAGTCATGAATAATTTGGTACCTGAATGATGTCATGACTATATGACTCGCCTCTCTCCCAACTGCCTAGCACCACCGCAGGGGAGTCCGGTAGGTACCCGTTGCAGGCTTCAGTGGCAAGCAGAAACATGTTTGGAAACATGTTGTGGGTTGCCGTCAAACGCGACGCTAGGTCGAAGAAGAAATCAAAGTACCAGTGGACAGCTATTCCTGAGACGTATTTGGCTGCGTCCGCATCTGATAACACCTATTTTAAATGAAGAAGAAAAATGTGACCTGCCATATCATAATGATTTAAATAATAATTTAAAACCACTTTCAAGAACCATCTTATCTCCCAGTATATAGCATAGTTTGCTTTGTCTTTTGTTGGTTTTTCTACATTCATACCGTTTGCTTTAATTGTGCTTTCTTTTGCTTGCATCATCCATTTTATAAACTGTGTCGTTGTATCACTAGTATGTTTCGTATGTCCGTCTGTAAAGTTTATTAAGTTTACGTCCACTCCGTTTGTTTGTCTGTTTCTGTTTCATTGTTTTGTTTTGTTGTGTTTTATCTTTTGAATTTAGTCTTCCTTTTTCAGTATCGTTTATATATATTTTTTTTGTGTGTTTAAGGCATTCCGTTTATAAGCTTCGGCTTCTTGTGTAATGCCTCCACTTAGTTTTCATGTAACAATTGTTTTGTTTTCTTAAGTGCTTATTCATGTGGAAATAAATGTTTCTGAAATGAAATGAAATGAATGAATGAGGAATAACCCCCACCTTTTGACTTTTCAAGTTACGTATATTGTGTTCAAGAGCAAATCATTAGCTTTCCAATGATACCAAATTTATTTCTGTAGCTTAATTTATTCCAAAGATATGCCGCTGGAACTGTAACAGTGTCCCGCCAAACTTCGCCAACCTCATTTCGAGAAAAACGGCTTTGAAGAAAGAAATACGCGTTGCGCCGCCAAAGGCAGTGGAAAACGTTCTTCAGTTTCCAACATTTGGGGATGTTATTTCCCTAAAAAAAAGCCACAGTGTGAATCTTGGATACCTTGGCTACTCAAAAACATGAAGAAAAAAATAAAAAATATTGATTTTGACATGATTTTGTGAGTGTATCCAACTTCAGGCGTTAATTACTCAAAATATTGTTTACGGGGGACATTCCTCATTTTGCCACAGTAGGTCACAAATATGAAATTAATGGATCACTTGGATGATTTTGCTGTCTATATGTAGGGATGTAAGCGGACTCTGAGATTTTTGCCTGAAAATTGATGCATACAGGTATGTGTGCGTGCCAACCTTGCCATCTTTGTGTGGACCTTAAAACAAAGCAGGTCCACACGATGCAGGTTGTGTGACCCTTCCGTGGACTAAGCCAGGTCCTCACAAGGTAATCGAGGCATTTTGGGGTTAGGGTGAGCTCTGTGAATGCTGTATGTTCCAAGAAAGCAGTATTCTAGGATCTTTGCTTCAATTCAATTATTAATTTCCGAGTAATGTTTTGAATTGCACCGGAAATCAGCATCTGGAACACGGTCTCATTCAGCCGATTGCAGCTACGCAATGTCACGCACCGAACTGAAGAATAACAGCAACCGCATGCGTGTGTACGCCGTGTCAACGCTTGCGCGCACCTATTCATGGATTGCCAAATTGCAAAGCAAGTACTAACACAAATTCCAAAAAATGCGTCACTTGACGCATCGTTAGAAATGGCCTTCTTTTACTGTTTTCTTCAAAATGACAGCATGTCACACAGAACAATTTCACAGGGAGTTTAGTGCCAATACTTTCTTTAACCCAAGTAAGTTTCAGAACAATAATTTTGTCAGTTACTTTTTCAATAGCTACAAATGATCTACCCCACCTCTAATGCCAAAATACACCTCAAAGATAGTTTCTGAATGCAAAAGGTGCATAGGCTCGCCATGCACAGCGAGTCAAGGGTAACATACCCCTTTAACATAATCTGGAAGAAAGAGTCGTTGGTCATCAAGTATCATCAAGTTGACGTCTCCGTAGCCGGCCTGGTTTAGGGCGGGTCCTAGGTCCGTCTTGACGAAATCTCCCTCCATCTCTGCGGTGTAGTACTGGGCCTGCCATTTGTTGTCGGTGCCGCCGGCCGACGGCTCGTTCTCCACCGATATGCCCCACATGGTCAGATTGTTCTTCTTGTACTCATCAAGAAACCTGCACGGAGGAAAATGCTGAGTGAGTACCATTGCAGGGAGGCAAAGTGCATGTCAATGTGTGCAAGTTCTTTGTCTTGAGTACAAGTATGAGTTCGAGTACTTTGTCGTGATTATGAGAAAATGAGTACAAGGCAATATTTTTTCCATGAGCACGAGTACCAGTACCAAAATGTACTCAAGTACGAGACAAGTATCAAAGCTGCCAACTTTTCAAAATCCAAATTAGTAATCAACCCGCGCGGTCATTTTCAACTGCGCGGACATTAACAGTGTATGTACCAGCTTTATCAACATCATGGTTTACATGAACACATACATGAACATACCCTTCTTGCTGTGATTAATAATGTACTGTAGGCCATAGAATAATAATAATAATAAAAAAATAATAATAAAAAAATAATAATAAAAAAATAAATATAATTTTTTTTTTGTAAATTATTTTGTTTTAGTTTCTGTATTTGTTTGTTGGAGTCAAATAAATAATAACAATAATAACATGTGCGCATTTTTTTCTGAGATGCCTGCTATCGGTGTTGAGTTTCGAGTTCATATGTTTTTACACACATTTCAAGTTGACCCAACTAGAGTTCCATTTCAGACAGGTGAAATTTAAAAAAATAACTTCCAATAAACTGTACCCTGGAGATAATCTTTCGCTTGTAGTCCCTCCCAATTGTTTCAAACTTATCTTAATCTTGGCCACAATTTATTTAGCAAATAATTAAATTTACACTCTGGAGAATTAGTTTGGAACAAGCGCCATCTTGAAAATTGACCAAATGCTGTTTATATTAGCTACAGCTGACATGACACATGTTTTTACGAGAGAAAAAAATTATCAAGACTTAAACTTTAGTGTTGATTCATATACGCAAAAGTTAAGAAAGTGAAATTTGTGATGTCAACAATCGATTCATGGTGAAATTTGCTATTATCCAATACAGATTTACCCTGAATTTCTGATTTCTCTTGCAAATTGCTAATGTGTGCCCATTCATTTGCAGGTCTGAATTTCTACAAACTATTGTGTGAATTTAAGACATTTCATCAAAACAACTTTGCTTTGAAATATTTCTTCAGGACGGACAGACATTTGGAATGAACTTTACAATGTTCTTACTTGATAAAGTAGTTAGCCCATGTTTTGTGGTACTTGTCGCCAGCTTGGCCTTTCAGCTGTCCTTTACCGCTCATCTGTCCGTTTGTCTTCATCCAAGCTGGTGCAGACCAGGGTGCAGCAAATAGTCGGATCGGCTTCTTGGACATGGCTAGGGATCGTTGGATGATGGGGATCTGGTGATCAAGTCAATCACAAGTCAATTGCAAGTCAATCACAAGCCAATCACAAGCCAATCGCAAGTCAATCACAAGTCAATGGCAAGTCAATCTCAAGTCAATGGCAAGTCAATCTCAAGTCAATGGCATGTCAATCTCAAGTCAATCACAAGTCAATTGTAAGTCAATCGCAAGTCAATCACAAGTCAATTGCAAGTCAATCACAAGTCAACTGCAAGTCAATTACAAGTCAATTGCAAGTCAATCACAAGTCAAACACAAGCCACTGACAGGTCAATCACAAGTCAAATCACAAGTTAGTCACAAGTGTATCACAAGTCGATTGTAAGTCAATCACAAGTCAATCACAAGTCAAATCACAAGTTGGTCACAAGTGTATTACAAGTTGATACAAGTCAAATCATAAGTCAGTCACAAGTCAATCATAAGTCAATCAGAAGTCAAATCACAAGCCATTGACATGCCAATCACAAGTCAAATCACAAGTTAGTCACAAGTCGACCACAAGTCAAAATACAAGTCTATCACATGTCAATCACAAGTCGATCACAAGTCAATCCCAAGTCCATCACAAGTCAATCACAAGTCAATCACAAGTCAATCAAGAGTCAAGTCACAAGCCAATCACAAGCCCAATCTCAAAGGTCCGGGTGACAGACGTTATAGATTACCTTGTATTTGATGTCTTCCTTTGCTAAGGAGAAGTTCTGCAGAGCGAAATCGTTGGGCACATCGTCATAGGAGTATTCACCAAGTGAGAAATCAGTACTAGCCATAGGAATGCGACCAGTTGTGTACTCAATTCCTGTGACAAAACGAAAGAAATGAGAGACATTCGTTTAAAAAATGTATGGAAACCGTTAAGGCAAAACTTAAAATAACAGTGTAAATAGCGTACCACATGATCATGAACCACAGCCTAATACACAATACTAACTGGGCCTTTTTGAAAAATGAAGGTGCCAGCCCCCCCGCCCCAAAGTTTCCAAGATGGCGAATGGATCCTTCTATTTTCTTGGCTGTTTTGGTGATTCAAAATTGTGTCCAAGGTTACCCTTTCTACACAGTTATATAATTTTGTTGGAAACAAATAAAAAGACAAGACAGGATGGTCCAAAAAAAAAAAAAAATGCAAAAATTAGACAAACAAAAAAACCAACATTGCAATTTGCGTAGTTAAAATCTCTCTCTTACCATCAATGGAGAAGTATGACCTGAGTAGGTGATCCTGAACCTTGCTTGATACGTTCAAGATGTTCATCGTCGCCGAGTCTGTGAAGGCTCCTCCAAACCCCAAGATGGTTTGATAGACTTCAGAGGAATTCACAGTTATCAACATGTTCTTGTCTGCAAATGAAGAAAATGTTCATAAAGTTTTTTTTGTCAAACACCTACAAGTTTGTTTAAATAATTTACAGGTACATTCTTTCTTAAATATCCTCAATAAAACCTTTGCTATGTCTTATGTTAATTAATACATGATTTCATCTACAAACAAAGATTAAATTGGTATGTTTTCACGTCACAAAAAAAATACCACTCCCCCCCCCCCCTCAAAAATAAAGTTTTGCCTTTTTCGCAAAAAAATAAGGACTCACCTGAAATATTGTCGGGCCACAAATAATTTAAAATGTGTGCAAGAATAATCTAGGCCTAAATTTATGCCCGACTGAGCATAAACAACTCAAGGTCCGGCCCAAGACCTTGACACAGTGCATCCTCCAAAATCAGCCACACATTTTTGCCATATAGCCTCAGTCCTGCAAAATCCTCCATTTTGCAAAGAGGATTTTGGAGAATTAGGGAAGGTTAGACAATAATACTTGTGATGTTGGAATGCACTGCAATGACTTGCTGATCCTTGCTGAACCGGTGCTGATCTTTGTCACTGGTAACGGACACAAACATCCCGGATTCGGTGTTGCTAATTCCCTGGACGGTGTCACAATACGTAGCATTACACACGCAGACGTAGGAAGTCGCCAAAGGGAAGGATTTTCTTTTGCATTCCACAGCTGCAACAAAATTTGACATCTCAATTGTTAATTTGTTTTTGATTAACCCTAAAGGGGCAGAATCCGCCTCCCCCCCCCCTTAACTTTTTCCGCGATAGCCTCGAACATTTTTTGTCGCGACCCGAGCTGTTCTGACTTTTTAGCCTCGAGCCTTGCACATCTTTTGATACAAAAAACATAAAATTCGGACCATGGGCTGCTGTGCAGCGAAAAGTTTTCCGGGGCTACGCGCCGTGAAAACTGAATTTTCCCATACATAATGTACACAGAGCAGAATCACCATTAGTGCATATGAATAATTAATTAGCCATATTCCAAAACCCTTTGACCTATAGTCATGACATTTCTTGGGTATGTTCATGAAGAGTTGTTCTATGCATGTTCTGAGTTTCAAAATTCTTAGGCTGAGAGAAGGTCGAAATAACCCGCCCCTTTTACATGTTTTAGGGTTAAAGAAGGCAGAACTCGGCTCATATTCGATAGGCTACTGATTTTCCGTTTCAACACTGTCAGGCCCAGAGGAACAACCAACTGTGATTGGTCAGTGTTGGAGGCGTAAGCTTGAAATCTTGATTCCGATTGGCTAATATTGGCAGGGTGATCATATTCACATTTGTTAGACATGAAACTTGTATTTGGAAAAATAGATCCCCAAAACTTTCTTCATTCTGATAAGCTAAAAAAAAAGGAGATTTTTACAATAATTATATTTCAAATTAGACCTGCATGTACCAAAGTATTATCACTGAATTCTTGATACAATGAAGAGGAATCAAATGAAAGTTTAACTGGTTCATAGCCCCATAAGTTTGTGCACAAATTGCCTGGTTGGTTTGTCATCCATGCCGAAGAAGCATTGCGAATATTGACAAATGTTGTTGCCTTGTTGTTTGTTGTTGTGTAATTTTAGAGAGTTTTGTTGTCTAAAAAGGGAGTACTCAGTTGAGCTAGTTATAGCCCTACACTATGGCCCGGCAATGGAGTAAACTCTGGGCTCTGTGCCATACGCATGTCAGCACAAAAGGTCGGTTATTGATATCATTTTTTTCAAGGAAATCATTTGGACTTGGTTGGTGAAATACTGAGGACATTTTCTTTGCCCCAGTGGAATTTTTGGAGAAATTTGCTTGCTAAACTGTGAGTAAAGTGGGCCTGAATTAGTTTTGCATGTTTCAGAGCACTCCAGAGCCCTGTCTGAGCCATACCTTGCATTTGATGAGAGAGTGCTGGACACGTCAGTTGGAATATGAGATGGGTCCAAAAAGACATCCACGTCAACCAAATCAACCTGCCGGCCATCCTCAATTCATTCACTGCCTCTTCAAACTATTAAAAATGCTGCAAATGAAACACATATAGTAATTATGATCAGTTCGTCTATTTTCAAAATAAGTCTTATTAGGCCGAGTAAAAAAAAAATAGTTTCTCGTCCGGGGTTTTTGAAAAAAGGGAGGAAGCGTGGCTTTTTATTTTTAATTTTTTTCAAGATGACCGCCTTTTCAAAATTTCCTGCAACCGTTGTAGTTCCACTGTTCAAAGACACTTTTAAAGATGAAAGACAAGTTGGACAAGAGAACTGAACATATTTACAGTGTCAATTAGAGTTGTATTGGTATTGGTATTTATTTTCCGATGAATTTGTAGACTTTTTCGGTGTGTTTCTACTACATTTTTCAAAAATAAAAAATAATAAAAAAATCCAGGCGGCCTCCAAAAAGGAAGCGGGCGAGGACGAGAAACTTTTTTTTTTTTTTACTTCGCCGTATATTTCTTCTTGTATATTTCTGGGTGTTGTTTTACTGTGTTACCTGTCATAACTTTGCTATCAATCGAAAGAGAATTGCAAGACAAATTTAATGGCATTAAAATTAGCTCCGTAGGCGTACGTAGGTGCTTTTGTTTCGGAGTAATGCCACTAGCTTAAAGGGGTAAATCTTGGGAGTCGGTGTCTGTTAGGTAAGCGGGGCGACTGCGAGCGCTTCAAACGTGCTGGATAAGTGTGTTAAGAAAGCTTAAGGTTTATGTATGAATGTACTACTACTAGTACTACTAGTGCTTAGTTAGTACTAGTTCTGTACCCCCTTTTGTTCAGATTTCATTCTGAGAAATATTTACTTATTAATTTTTGAATTTTATCTCAAAATCATCACTGTAATGACTGTAATTTGTAAGTTGTGAATTACATTGTGTGTGAATAGATGATATTTACATTACAGTGATAAGATAGACTTCTTTTTTCTTTCAATTATTGTTTTGGAACATGTTCAAATACTAATGTAATTATCATCGTTTGAAGATTGCTACTTTTGCGTGGTTATTGTTAGGATTTATACTAGTAGTAGTAGGCCCTAGGCCTAATTAATTAGGAGGTGTTTCCATTGATTGGATGTACCATGGATGTACTATCATGTAGCGCACATTTAATATTACGTGCACGTGATGGAGAGAGGCGTTTTTTTTTTCTGTACACAAACATTGGCGATCGTGAAGTGTAGCTAAGGGCCCGGTTCCTATAGGGAACAAAATCCACTTTAAAATTATTGGACCTACCAAAACTAGTTGGCGACATTCTCAATAAACAGGTATGTCATAGATAGAGGGCAGGGTTTTGATTTTTTGAGGGAAATTTGGGGGTAAAATGACGATGACAGCGCAAGGCACAAACCGCGCAGGAAAATCGTGATTTCTACACCAAGAATCTGTTCAAAATTGCAAAACGGGTGTCATTAGAATTGAGAAAAGTCTGCTTTTGATTGTAAAGGTGATTTTTGAGCAATAAAAAACCATTTTTGACTCTAATTTGCTCAAAACAAAACAGGGGCACTACACTTCCGGACTTCACGATTGCCCAAACATTGACATGATCATGATGATTGACCAAGTCTAAATCGCTGTGGGAGTAATTGCAGAATACCCCGCCACTCGGAAATACACCCCTAAAATCTCTGGCTACGCGGTGGGAATCACTGGAAAAGAAACAATTCAACTTCCATGCCAGCTACGCGGATACCGAGTGGGGGTCCATTATTTCTCTGTATCTCTGTATCTGTACGTTGCAAGAAACCAATTCTGGGAGAGAGAGGGTGTTCACTGTACAGTAACTTATTGAGAGAGAGGTCCGCGGCTGATGAGGGATTTGAACATGTTGAAGGTATCAACAGAGTCGGCTGTTCTGGTTGTATCATGGAGTTCCTTCCTCCATAATCATGATAATTATGTAAACTGTGTAAACAATGGTTTTTTTACGTCTGACTTGAGCTTTATTACTTTTTTTGCAACTTACCTCTGTCGATCTGTTACAACTTACAATGAGCCTTCCTTCCCGTGGTATTACGGTATTAGTATTTATCCAGTATATAGTACTTTTAGTAGTACTCGAGTCGTACGATCATAACATGACATACTCGATCGGTATGCAATAACGATGACAATGCGCTAGGACCTACATGTGCTATGTCATGTATGTGGTACGGGTGCATGCAAGTGTGGTGGCGCAGCAGCAGTCTAGTGGCGTGATCCAGTTGTGAGTCACGTGCACGTCATGTGTCCTTTGATGTAAATGAAAACTAGATTTTCTTCAAGCTTATGAGCTCACTTGTGTTTGCCCCCATCTTGGGGCTTTATTTCAAATTAAGTCCTTTATGTCACTTGTCAGTGAATAGTATAAAGTGAGGTCAAAATTTACGGTACTTTTATTTGATTTTGGCGCTAAGAACTCCAACAATTATTCTGGATCTACAGATAAAGCCGAAGTAGACGGAGCCGAGATTTGGAAATACTCTCATTGCAACAGCCAATCAAAATTTTGTTTGAGAGTAACAGTGTGGGCCCCTGCGCGTTTTCATTACACTACAATAGTTAAATGTGAACGGTGACAGACTATTTGCCTAGGCTTCGGCCGCGGAAAAGTCAAAATGGATGTGTTGCGTGTGTGCGAAGCTTAACTGTACTTGTTTATCATATCAAGATTCTTCGTGTTACTGTTAATTTTTAACGAGAATGTATTTTGCAGTAGTACGAAACTGCGAAACTGGGTTAACACATCAAAATGGACAAGAAGTTGGCTCTGACGGAAACGCTGGTTCAAGCCATTCAGCAGGACATGTTCGGGTAAGTTGTCCGACACACTCACACACATACAAACTTATCGCGGAAATTCACCTATGCAAATTGGGGTCAACACGCCCCTCATTATGACGTCAACGTTGAGTTCGTGCTTGCGCTCATGCCATCAATTTCAGCCCGACTCGCTTCAGTTTTATGAATGAAATCATTATGCATCGGAGAGTGCACATGCCAGAAATTTACAGTAGAAAAGCTCATGATATCTGCTTTCTTTTGCCGAAGAAAGCATCAAAATCGATGACCTATTGCTTGAGTTTTGACAGTTGAAACATTTTTTAGCGGTTTTTTTTTTAGGAACCAAAACTTCTTATTTTTCGAGGGAGTCCATCTTTTTAATCCTAAATTTCTCTCTTCTCGAATTTGGTTCGGGAAAACCGGAATTAGTTCCATATAGAACAGGTTTTCAGCTTTGATATGGTGTGGCACATGTGGGTGGCCGGTCTGATACGGCGATGGCCGCGAGCAATATGCATAAAAATTGCTCGCTAAAACTGCCCAAAATTGCGAATGATAGTGAAGTAATCACGTGATATAAACACGTGCAACGTGCAGGAGATATATATAGCTCAGTGAAAGGCGGTTACGAAGATTAAAGGGATCCCGTTTGATTAAAGGGATCCCGTTTGATGAAATGTGTGTGTGTCTCTTTTTTTTCTGTCCCTTTTACCCTGTATCCCGATGCAACGGAGTTGGGCGGTGGGTTGGGGTGGGGATGGCCCGCGGTTGGGTGGGGGAGGCCTGCAGGTGGGGTGGGGGAGGGGGAGGGGATGGGGGGGAGGGGGAGGGGATGGGGGGGGGGCGGGGGAACAAAGACACAGTGGGTGGAATATGCACATTCTTTGGTTGAATGGCCATTGCACATATCCCAACACCTTGAGGGGCGGGGTGGGGTCCCCTGGGTGGGGGGAAAGGAACGGGAGGGGGGTACTGAGAACCAGGATAATGGAATAATTTCTGTCTTTCATTTCTTACACCTGCACCATATCAGGACCCCATGGAAGGGGAGTGCACATAAGGGGTTCCCGGTGGAGGGGGGGGGGGGGCGTGGGGGAGGATGCCTCGTGAGTGTAGAGGGGGGCCGGGGTTAGAGTACTCAAAACCAGGAAGCTTAAAATCCGGGGGGGGGGGGGGGGGGGGCTCAAAAGGAGGAGGGTGGAATTTCATATTTCCTTTTCTTTTTTCGGTCCTTGCAACATATCCCGACCCTAGTGGGCGATGGGTGGTGGGGGCCCCCACCAACACAGAAATCTTGATATGCAAATTAGGTAAACAGCGCCGCTCATTATAGCATCATCATGAAATTCTTGCTTACGCGCATGCCATCTACTTCGGCCAATTTTCGGCCAGACTCCTTCAGTTTTATGAATAATATCACTGTAGGCCTACATCGGAGGATGCACCTGCCAGAAATTTACATGCTGAAAGCAACAGAATCATGTCCGCTTCCTTTTGCCGAAGACAGAGTCAAAATTGTTAAATGAAAGGGTGAGTTTTGACGATTAAAATATTGTTTTAGCGTTTTCCTTTTTGTAACTCAAACTTCGTATTGTCCAAGGGAGTCCATCTTTCAATCATGTTTTTCTTCCTTCCAACATTTTGTTTGAGATCAAATGAATTAATTCCGAGTAGTTGAGTTTTTTAGCTGGCGAATGGTGTGGCCTAAGTGGGTGGTCGGTTTAATAGTGCGATGGTCGCGAGCAAAATGCATGGAAATTCATCACTGGAACTGCCAAAAATTGCGAATGATTTTCAAATGATTACGCCGGTTATATCCGGCCCGCCGGCACCGCGCGCGTTCTAATAAAAACCCAAGATTAATAAAATAATCGGTTACACCTCTATGTTCCGACACCCCTATGTTCCGACTGCACATATTCCTATTCCTAACCCTAACCGGGAGTAACACAATCTAGGTTGTCGGAACATAGGGGTGTCGGAACATAGAGCAGTCACCAAATAATCAAGATGTTTTGTTTTCTGATAAATGATGTGACTTTATTATTGGGAATACCACTTTCTTTTTTTCCTTTCCCCTGCCCTGGATACCATATTCCGACCCTGGGGATGGGGCGGTGGGGGGGGGGGGGGGGGGGGGGGCGGAGCGTGGTGTTCAAACCACGCCAAGAGGGCTGAAATTGTTTTTTCCAACAAGTGAAGTTTGTCTTTTAATTTGGTGCAATGACGTTCCCGACCAGACTTTCTTTTACTGCGATATCATGGACCGGGCCGGGGTTGAGGCGGGACCGTATCATAAGTCCGACGCCTCATAGGTCCGACGCCTCATAAGTCCGAAATTTCGGACTTATGAGGCGTCGGACTTTATTTATTCCGCCTCATAGATCCGACGCCTCATAAGTCCAACGCCTCAAAAGTCCGACAACGGAAAAACGAGTGTCGGACTTACGAGGCGTCGGAGCTATGAGGCGTCGACCTATGAGGCGTCAGATTTATTAGGCGTCGGACCTATGAGGCGTCGGACTTATGGGCCTTTATTTGGTTAGGGGATGTGATTTTGTCGGATTTATGAGGCGTCGGACTTATGAGCGGACCCCGTTGAGGCCGGGTAGGGGTTGTGGGGGCGGGGGGGGGGGGGGATTTCCCAAAACAAAGAGGGTGGAATGTCCTTTATGTTCTTTTAGTTATTAATCTTAAGACGTGCTGCTCTTGGGGGGAGAGAGGTGGTGGGGCCGCATGAGTCGGGGGTGGGGGTGGGGGGGGGGGGGTTAAGGTACTCCAAACCAGGAGGGTTGAATATCCCGGGGAGCATCAGAAGGGGAGGGCCTGGAATTTCCCAATCTTCTTTTGTTTTCATCATCATCATCATCATCATCATCATCATCAGACGTCGTAGGCTACTGCCCGTTGACGCAACAACCGTCCACTTCTTCTGGGTTGTGTGACTGGTGAAGGGGTGATTTCCTTCGCTGAAGGGTCGCCGCAGTTAGTTTATCCACGCTGAGACCGCTCCATCTGGTGAGGCCGTCGATCCAGCGGAGTTTGGTCATTGCATTATATCCCGACCCTTGGAGACAGAGGGTGGGGGCTCCGACAAACTATTCACAGAAACCTTCGTATGCAACTAGGCGAACAGCTCCGCTCATGATGACGTCATTGTCAAGTTCTTGTTTCATTACGCGCATGACATCGTCTTCGGCCAATCTCACTGGGAGTCCATCTCTTCAATCCTATTTTTCTTCTTTCCAACATTTGGTTCGAATTCAAATGAATTTATTCTGAATAGTTGAGGTTTCCAGCTGTCGAATGGTGTGCCACATGTGGGTGGTCGATTTGATAGTGCGATGGTCGCGAGCAATATGCATTGGCATTTTTCGATGGAACAGCCAAAAATTGCAAATGATTTTCAATAATTGATCACGCCATCACCGCTTGCGTTCTAATAAAAAAACAAAATTAATCTAAAAAGCAAGATGTTTTGTTTTCTGATGAATGATGCACCTTCATTACATTATTGGGAGTAGGCCTACCCCTTTCATTTCATTTCCCCTGTCCTGGATATCATATTCAGACCCCCGGGTGTGGCGGGGGCGGGGTGTGCGGTTCAAGCCATGCCAAGAAAGCTGAAATTATTTTCTTTTCCATCAGTGATTTTTGTCTTTTTACGGTGGTGGTGCAATTACGTTCCCGGCCAGACTTTCTTTTTTACTGCGAGACTGGGTTGGGGTGGGGGTTGAGGCCGGGTAGGGGTTGTTGGGGGTCGGGGGATTTTCTTCCAGTGATTCTAAGTTCCAAATCTGCATGCCCAGTGGGTGGGTGTGGGAGCGGGCAGGGCTGGTGGATTTACCAAACAAAGGATTGCATATTCTTCAAGTGATTTTATTCAGACTTGCTTGCCCGTGGGTGGAGGGGGGGGGACGGGTTGGATTTCCCAAAACAAAGAGGATGGAATATCATTCCTGGGAGAGAGAGGGGGAGAGAGAGGTGGAGGGGTTATAGTACTCCGAACCAGGAGGGTTGAATATCCCCGGGAGAGCCGCAGATTGGGAGGGCCTGGAATTTCTCAATCTTCTTTTGATTTGGTCCTTGCATTATAATCCCGATCCTTGGGGCAGAGGGTGGGGGCCACGACAAACTATTCACAGAAACCTTCGTATGCAAATTAGGTGAACAGCGCCGAATTTTATGACGCAATCGTCAAATTCTTGCTTTAAAATACGCGCATGACATCGTCGTCGATCAATTTCGGCCACTCTCGCTAGGAGTAGGAGTCCATCCCTTCAATCCCGTTTGTCTTCTTTCCAGTATTTGGTTCAAATTCAAATGAATTTATTTCGAATAGTTGAGGATTTTAGCTGTCGAATGGTGTGCCACATGTGGGTGGTCGGTTTGATTGTGCGATGGTCGCGAGCAATATGCATGGACATTTTTCGAAGGAAATGCCAAAAATTGCGAATGATCAGTTAGTCTGTATACAGTATACACGTACGTACGTGCAGCAGAGCAAGGGGATCTACCCGATGTTCCCCAATACCGATGTTCCCCCAAATCCATAGGATTAGGGTTAGGGTTAGGGTTAGGGTTATATTGGTAAGGATTTCGAGGAACATCGGTATTAGGGAACATCGGAATTGGGGAACATAGACATGCACCCGTGCAGGAGCTATGGAAGAAGCGTTACAAAGCAAGGATTCCGTTTGTTGATGGCCTTTTTTTTCGTCCCTTACTATCCCAAAGCGACGGGACGGGGTTGAGTGGGTGGGGTGAGGGAGGCCCGCGGGTTGGAGTGCAGGTTGGAAGGGTGGGGAGATAGGGGGCGGTGCACCGGGAACACTCCATGCACATTTTTTATTGACCCTTTTGGCCTTGCCAATTATCCCGACCCCTTGGGGCGGGGCGGGGATAACATTTCCTTTGTTCCTAATTTTTCCTTTTTTCCGTGCACCATTATCCAGACCCCGGGGAAGGGGGCGTTAGGGACGGGGGGAGGGGCGAATGGGGGATGGGGGCAAATGGGGGATGGGGCCGCG